TATATATATATATATATATATATGTATACATTTATACACGCATTATATACATATATTAAATAAAATAAAAAATTTAATCGGGTCGGATTAAGGGCAGGTAATGCCAACCCCCGACCCCACCCCATTACCCAAAAAAGCAGAGAACCCCTGCCCCTCCGGGTAAAATTTTCCATCTCTACCAGCAGGGTAAGATGTACGTAATCCTGGCCTCTATCTCAAGTAGTAGAGCGGTTGTTTTCATGAAAACCCCCGGCATGGGAAATAAAGGGAAGCATGTATGCTTAAATTTAGAAGAGCTAGATATAAGTGAGCAAAAGAAATATAGATATCGGCAAGTAAAGGAACAACGTTGGATCCCAACAAAATTGTACCATTCAAATTGTAACATTTCCTTTTCTTGGAAATATTCCAAAAGTGAAAACTACTCCAATGTCCCAAAATGAATGTCCACATTTCTATTCTAGGGGCTATCATAGATGGAATCAGCCTGTTATTTAATTGGGACGGACAGGTGTGGGAAAAACTTGGCTTTCTACGTAAAGCTCCTTCCTAAAAGCTTACTAAATAAGCAACTACCAAATAGTCATGTATAGAGTCCAATTAAGCTCATTAAGCTGCTAACAAACAAGCCCTTGGTCTGTCCCAAGATAAGTGTCCACTTTCAAAATTGTTTTACTTTCCACTTTTATCCTTAATTATAAGGAGAAATTCTTTATTGCCTTATCATTAAGGGTAAAGTTGTCATTTAGTTAATTAAAAAGTATAATACTTATACACTTCTAAAAGGGTGTCATTTTCATTGTGGGCATTCATTTTGGGACGGACAGAGTACATGTTTGTCGATTATTAACTATATAAATGCATTGATGGTATTGATTTTGGGTCAATAAGATGTACTCACTCCATCCCAAAATATTTGTCCACAAATAATATTTTAGTTTGTTCCAAAATAAGTGTCCACTTTCAAAAGTAAATGCCTACTTTCCCATTCTACCTTTAATTATATGATGGAGAAAATGTCGCTACAATTAAGGGTAAAATTGTCATTATATTAATTAAAAAGTATAATAATTACACATTTCTAGAACTGTGTGCCACTTTCATTGTGGACATATATCTTGGGACGGAGGGAGTACTTACTTGTCAAAGTGCATTTTAGATATTTGACAAATTGTCTTACTTAAACTATATAACAAATCAATTATTGCTATTTTCATGGAATTAGGGAGTAATAATAAGTTGTTATGGAGGTATTTTATGCCGAAGAATTAAAAAAACTCAAGGAACTTTACCTCCAAGACATGTCCATAAGATCACCCGAAGCCTCGACAAAATCACGACCAAGTCTGCTCGATCGTGCAGATTTACCAGATGCTTTCAAAATCCCGTCTTGACGAGATGATTTGAATAAGCCACCGATGCTACTAGGTGAATCTTCGGCATTAGCAGCAACACTTCCGAAATACGGACTAGGACTTGGAAGATGGTCAATAGACATATTATTCTGGTCATGCTGAAGATACTTGTTCTTCCGAATTACTGAAGAACCTCGGTTAATTTCTTTTAACGGTGTAGTAATTACAGGCCGAACAGGACGATTTGCAGATGTTGTAATATCATCAAATTTGAAGTTTTTACTGATGGACCTAAGCATGCTCATTCCTCTGTCTGCATCATTAGAGGCGTTCGTTTGTGAAACCAAAGGAGAACCGTAGTTTGTTAATCCACCTAAATTTGATTGAGCCGTTTGGAAAGAAGATGAGGGTGAAGAATTTCCGTCATTGGTTCCAAAAAGAAGAGAAGAGTTGACATATGACGGGACTAGGACGCTGGTAAAAGCGGGATCCTGTACTTCGGGAAGATCGTGATTTCCTGGAGCGTCGTCACCGTCCGGGGAGGCTAATTCAGTCATTTGTCCACTTTTCACCCTTTGTTGTTCAACTTCTGGCAGTAGTTGAATGCTTTTGTCCTGTAGAAGTACATAACTTGATCAATAATAATGCTACAATATGTCCCATCTCAAGATTAGCTAAAAGTACAAGTACCAAAGGGTTGTTGACCCAATGGTAACGGGAAACTGATCAAAATAGCCGATCTCCCTAATTTTAGCCACTTCTTCAATTGAATTCCCATTTTAGCCGGAGTTTACGCAAATGTCTTACGCATTTGCATAAACTCGGTTTTCAGATTAAAAAATAGATTTTCTTGCTTGAAGATTCAGATTTTTGCACAAGGATTTTTTTCTTCCAGAAATCAGTCTTTATGCAAATGCATAAAGCATCTGTGCAACTCCGACCAGGATAAAAGATCCCATTGAAGCGGTGATTTTTGAGTATTTTTAAAAAGTGAATTTGGTTGACGGGATTGGCTATTTCAGTCAATTTCCCAATGGTACCGGGTTACCGGTAAATCCCAATTTCCAATCTCCCCGAAGGTGAAGGGTTCAAGCTTCACGAATGGTGAGAAAAGTGTGTGAGTTTTGCCGTATATAATTATATCACTGAATTTACTGAATCTTAAGACGACCATCTCCTTCCAAAAGAATTCTCGGAATTAAAAAAAACATAAGGTGAGGACCAAAAGACGTCATCTCAATGCTCATGTTCTTTATTTTTCTTATAGTCAAAAAGTTCAAGATTCTCATCAGGATTATGGGAAGCAACGTAACCATGATCATGCTTGCCATCTTAAAACCCCAAATCAGATATTTATAAACATAAAAAACTTGTTTAAAATGACAAATAACTAATATGAAGTTCTACATATTTGATGTGGGTACCTAATTTTCCTAATTATCCACACCAAGTTTCCAATCTGGGGTAGCATATATGGTGACAGATAGCATATTTGATGCTCCTATGTTTCTTCAACCCCATGTTTTGCAAAATACTTATTTTCTCGGGTTTCTCAGGTAAGAATTGTTTCACAAGAAATTATTTCAGAAAATTTTGAGCATACACTCAACAGCCTAGAGATGCACAAAGGCCCAGGCTTTTGTGGCCTTCCAAGCCCGTTTTCAGTGAGCAAAAGAAAGAAAGCCCAGGCCGAGCTAGTCTTTAGGGTTGAAAAAGGGCCCGGTCCGGCTTTTTCAGGGCGGGTTTTTCAGGCTTTTCTAAGTCGAGTTTTTTTGGGGCTGGCCACTCCTAGGCCCGGGCTTGCCCCCTGAAATTTCGGCCTTGCTCGGACTGGGCTTCGTACTCATTAGGCCTGGGATTTTTCAGGCTGGGTTGGGCCGGACTTCGGGCTTGGGCTTTTTTGTGCATCTCTATTCCCACTTTATAAGATTCAGATATTGTTCTAAATTTTCTGATGTGGCGTCCCCAAATCACCTTCGTCCTTGTATAGTTACTTAATTGCAAATGTCTCTCCGGAGAAGTTCCTTCCATTTCGCTTTACTATGCAGTTATGACTAGTTATCTTATACAAAAGCTGGTAATAACAATGGAAAGGTCACAAAACACAAGTATGAAAGCGTTCCTCCCTCTACCAAAATAGAGGGAGGGATGTAAAGTTTCTTCCGAAAAAGGTCACAAACACAAGTATCAAACTGTAACATTTTTTCTTTCATCTTTCTACCATGTATTTGATTATATATATAGACGAAGGATCATGTGAGAATAGAAGTTAAGGTGAGAAGTGTAAGAAGAGATCTGGACCCTTGATCACTTTTAATCTCATATAACTTCCATTCTCACAGGAACCCAACCCTATATATATAATATATCATAACCAAAAAAAGTTTGAGATAGAACTTACAACTAATCCTGCTCTCCAATCTCTTATTGATCCCATTCTGTTTACTACATCTTGATCAACGGGATTCTTAGAAATGAAGTCCTGCTCGAAGCTTTGAAGCTTCCGATCAACTTGATATGCTTCCACGTATCGATAACGCTAAAACAATAGAGAATACAGGTTTGTTATATTCCAGTTTTTGAAGCATGACAAGGTAATTCAAAATGGAACAATTTAGTTTCTTATAACTAGCTGAATATTGAAACATATACATCACTTATTGTATAAGTATAGTTTAATGTAAATGTAAACATCACTTTTAAAGTAACATGATATGTGCAAATTCTCCTTGCTTCTTAAGATCTTAACATATGTGCAAATTCTCCTTGTAAATGTAAACATGACTTTCAAACTATCAATCTATCCAGGGTGGCCATGGGAATTCTATCACCAGTCTACAGGGAAAAAAATGAGGCTCACTCTATTCAAGATGATCATTGCATTTAGGGTGCGTTTTATACTGGACATGACAGAACAGAACATGAATCATTGTTCCACGTTTGGTAGGACTTTTATGTGGAACAGACAGGTTCGAAGTGGAAAAGGCATGTTCCACCCCCACCCATGGAACAAGGTGGAACAAACCTATATTTTACCAATATAACCTCAAAATAAAACCTAATTCTATTCTAAAACATCAAATACGCCTCCCTCTTTACGTTTTATTCGTTCTTTAAATTTTATTTATTTTACTTTAGCTTTTTAAAATTTCACTTTATTGTCCTGAAAATTATTATTTCTGTATGGTTTCTATATTTTGATAAATGTTTTAAAATTAATAATAATAAAATGATACACAAAAGACATAAAATGAAAATTGGAAACTACAAAAGCTCTTTATTTTGTTTTCATTTCAATTGTTTTGACGAAAACTTTCTAATGATATATTTTGTCATAAAAAATATTTATTTTATAATAATTTAATAAATTACATAAATTAATCAAAATATATAAAAGATATAAACAACTCATTGGGGGTAAATTGGTCATTTCGGCTGTTCTGTCCTGTCCAGTTCTGTCATACCAAGAGTTGAACAGTTGTTCTATCCTTATCTGTCTTGTCTGGATGCCAAACGCTCCCTTAAAGAAAAAATGGCTTCATACTCGACCAAAGGTCATGGATTTAATTAAAATCTCATTTAAGGTTATATGCTTAAGTATACCAATGTATATATATAGGTCAGAGCTCAATATTTATCAGAGCTGAAGCAACAGGAAGAAAGTAGATAGATACCTGTAAATAGAACACAACAAGAAGACTTCCTGTGTTTGATAAGGGTTCATCTAAAGCATAATCCAAAAGACATTTGTGTAGATATTTCTCCTCATCCGCATTCCATGGTAAGCCAATAATTCGATCAACCAAATTCCTTCGAATGCAAAGAAAACAAATTTCTGTTACGAGTACCTCCAACCAATTCATCCCGGCTTCAAAATCATCATTTAATCCACTAGAAGCATCAGGGTACAACTCATGCCTTGCTTTCTTTTTCTTAACTTTGGTGCAAAGTGATCTTTGATACATAAATGCTTCAATCAGAAGTCCACACTCCACTCTGACCCGAACAGCAGTGACAGCCTCGTTAAGTGAGACCAACTCTGCTCCACTATCACTCCCTGACCAACGTAAGACCATAAGAGCAGCATCGGGATTTTGTCTTTCCAACAGAACTTGTGCGACCTTCGGATGTGTTGTGGGGCCTGAAATCTCTTTGAGAAGATGATAAGCTTCCTATGAAATAACATCAACAAACAATTAGTGTATAACACCATAATGAATATCTATAACTTTTATGACAAGCGGTACATTCCAAAATAACCGGTATTCGCACATCTTTACCCTTGGCCATGAACCTCCTTTGGATTTTTCATTTACTCTTTTTTTGGTGCTTGCCTGGATTGCTATTTTCTTACCAGCAGTAGTGCTGTTTTCTATTTGAGCTCCCCCTGACTTTGTTCCTTTGTTGAGACTTTTTTTAGTTTCCTTTAAGTGAATTTTTTGACTTTCTAAAAGTTCTGCTTGCACTTAATATGAAGGTTAATATGTGGTATTTTTACTCATCATTATTGTCAAAGTCCACACTTTCAAACTAAATATGTGACCATTTTAGGAGAGGAAAAAATTGTAATGAAAATACTATCGATAAAGCCTCAAGTACTTCTTTTTAAATCAAGAAATACCAGTTCTAAATTAGCTTGTAACATATCTATACACTTGTCATGGCTGTGAACTTTAACAATCATTATGATGATCCAAAAATTTCCTTATCACTAAACAGTATACTCTGGAACCTTAAGTCTGAATACATAACAGATAAGCTTCCGTGAAAAACAAAGCATAGATATCTGCATATATGAGCTCGAAGCTTCCTTAGTAACTCCCGGAACTTCTTCAAAGTTACATAGAAACTTTTAAATAATCAATAATGAAATAAACCCATATGTGACAACGAATACGGTACAGCTTTATAAGAAGAAGCTAAAACTAGGAAATTTATGACGAGAGAAGAAAGAGGTACCTTCAGGGCCTCATCGCTCTGGTCATCGAGAAGATAAAAAGTAAATGATTCCAATATTGAATGCCTGGCTATACTGAATGTAGCAGAAAAGTCATCTACACAGGATCTCCATTTCTCATCAGGTATATTCCAGAGTCGGTCAAACAGATAATATAAGAGCTGCTTACAGTTAAAGAGATACAAAATGTAGTTCTTGCTGAAGTTACCCAGCTTGCATCACAGCAAACTAGTTAGAATATGGATATCAAATTGCTTGTCTTATTGGGTGCGTTTGATGTCCTGACAAAATAGTTGTTTAGCATTTGTATAACAGAACTGGGCAAAACAGATAAAATGACCAATTTACCCCCGATGAGTTGTTTATATATTTTGATTAATTTACGTAATTTATGTAATTTATTATAATAAAATAAATATTTTTATATCAAAATATATGATTAGAAAGTCTTTGTCAAGACAATTAAAATGACACCAAAACAAACAGTTTATACAGTTTCCAATTTTTACTTTACACCTTTCCTATATCATTTTTTATTATTAATATTTAATAAATTACATAAATTAATCAAAATATAGAAACCACATAAAATTAATATTTTGAGGACAGTAAAGTAGAAGTTTAAAGAGCATAAAATACAATAAATAAAATTTAAAGAATGAATAAAATGTAAAGAGTGATGTGTATTTAATGTTTTAAAAGAGAATTAAGCTTTATTATGAGGTTATATTGGTAAAATATAGGTCTGTTCCATCTTGTTCCACGGAGTGGGGGTGGCACAGGCTTGTTCCACTATGTTCCACATAAAAGTCCTTGCAAAACGGGGAACAATTATCCTTGGTTTGTTTTGTATTGTCCTGTCCAGTGTACCAAACACACCCATTAAGAACAGAAAGATTATGCATGAGTAATGTATGATAAATGACAAAGGATACAATTGCTTGTTTTGCTACCACCAGATCTGAACTTCCACATAGAAAGAGAATGTCAATGGCTGACCGGAGGGTTTCAAAAGGATAGCTTCCTACCATCCCCTCTATTTTGACACGAGAAAATGAGTAGCCCCCATCCTTCTGCAGAGAAGCAATCTTTAATTCATCATCCCTATCTGCTGTATACTCCTGTTGTGTATCAAGATTTGATAAAGCATCTTCGATGAAGAGCATGGCGCCATCTTGCCTTGAGGTTCCCATAGGGGAAGGCCATGCACGTTTGATTGCCGCTTCTTTTCTCTCACGGACATCGGAACGCCATGATGAGAGACTATCATGCCGACTTAGACCTTCAAGAGATTCATGCCTTGTATACCAAATCATCATCTCCATATGCTGGGAATGGGAACCCGAGTTGAACAAAAGGTAAGAAAATAGCCATCTCTAGCATATCCCGTCTTTTCAAGTGGAGATGAACTGGGTTTGTGAATTCAAAATTCTTCCACAATTCAAGTCCAAAGTTCTCTTTTCACATTTTTGGAAAAACTCTTCGATGACAATTATAGTACAATGCATCCAGAGATGCACATATCTTTGACAAACGTTCAGAATGTTACCATAACAATTTGCTAAGAGAGATTATGCAATCAGCAAATCCAAGTAGAGATTAATGTTTAAGTTATGTGCATCTATATAGAGCCTTTTAGGCTATTCAGTGAGGCACGTTAAATATGCACAAAAAGTTATGATGGAGAGGATAAGATACAAATAAAAAATAACAATGAACCCCTTACTACAAGTATCACATACCTGGCCTCCACCCCAAAGTATAGAGCAGCTGTTTCCCTGAAGACCCCCGGCTTGTGGAAACAGCCGCTCTACTCTTCAGCGTGGGGGTCAGATCTGCATACATCCCTCCCCCCCCCCCCCCAAAGACCCTACCTTCGGGTGGAATTTACTGGGCTTCTTTAGTTTGCTTCGGTTTGGTTCTTATTTGATGTGCCTTACTGAATATTCTAAGTGGCTCTATAATGATACCCGTAACTTAAACATTAATCTCTACTTGGATTTTGCTTATTGCATAAGTTTTCTTAGCTAATTTTTACGCTAACAGTCAAAACATTGTAATATAATTGTCAGCTGGAGGAGTTTTTCCAAAATGTTGGACTTCAATTGTCGAAGGATCCTGAATTGTCAAAACCAATTCATTTCTGCTTAATAAGATACAAATGAAATAAATATAAAACAATGAACCCCTAATCAAAAGTATTGCATGAGTACAAAGCTAGGTATCATGATCCACAAGTCTATCATCAAGAATACTAAAATGAAGGCTTATTTAAATAAAAACTTTACTAAAATCAAACCTGCTTTGTCTTCAGTATGCTCTCTTGTAGGTGATGAATATCATTAAGCTGTGCAGAAAGGGAACCCTTAAAAGATGATTCTAACTCTTCAAGGACAGTGGATATGCAGCTTAGCCTAACAGTAAACTTAAGAAGTGCCCTTTCCTTGATTTCATCTACATTAAGATTATCTTTTTAGAGAGTCAAAGAAAATGATCGTAATTCTAGAACACATACTAAATGCAAATCAAAATGCCGAAGGATACAAATAGACTGAAGCTCAGCAATAATATGTTTGAACGTCCTCTTGCACCAGTCTTTGACAACCACTTCATCCAGCAACAAAGCAACAATTGGGTCACTAGAAACAGCAGTTTCATCCATACAAACATCTGTAATATCTGTTTGCAAACTGTTAAGAAGAATGGAACTTATAATTAAGGAGGCTATACCAATTTTATGTATATAGAAAAGTTATCTATATGTTGAAAACAAAAATGTCCTAGCAGATTCAATATTAGATATGAGTTATGAACAATAATAGAGCTGAATAAGGATACAGTGGCAGATCAGAGATAACAAATTGTTCTCCAATGCAACATCGAAAAATGAATACAGCCTTTCAACGTCAGCTGTCAGTAGTTTCTCCCCATCTTTTTCTTGAAACCTGTCATCGTATCTCTTGGAAATAAGACCGGCCTCAATGCACTCATAATATAGACGAAGAGATAGTCTATTTCCACTTTTTGGTATGGGAAATCTGCAGATTGGGCAAGCATCACTACGCTGACTGCATTCTTCACATAAAGAGGCATGGCCACACGAAATCAGCACACTTTGAACACATCGTCCGCAGCTTCTTAAGTCCCTTGTAGCCCGACAATGCTCAACTTTTGCTTCATTGCACAATTCTATCAGTTCAATTGATGCCAAGTGCTCCAGTGCTTCCTGAAATGAAAACCACTAGCACCATAAACTTCCAAAATAAGACTAGGAGCACAGAGAGTATTACAAGAAAAGAACCAGACCTCCAAGGCCCCCGATATATAAATTGAAGAACCAAAGGTTGTTGAAGTTAATATACTGCAACGCAATTGCGGGTTACTGGAAGTTCCAGTGAACCATCAATTCGTGAACAGATGCATGGAAATATGTGTTTCTGCTACTCCGCCAGCAGAAGATAATTATTACACACTTGCAACAAACAGACCGCAATTTTCCACCCTTATACAGTGTCAGGTTAGGGGAAACCCGCAAAAAAATGAAAAACTAAGGAACACCCTAGTAACCGTTCATTTGTACGGTATGCACATATCCATACAAGTAATTTGTAAGTAATTTTCCCGGTATACACATGTGCATGCACACGTGCATAGAAACCAGGAAACATCTTCAATTACTTGTATGCATGTGTGCATACCGTACAGATAGACGGTTACTAGGGGTTATTTGGGTGTTCCCAAAATTTTCATTTTTTTGGGGTTTCCCCCGAACCTCTCTCTCTCTCTCTCTCTCTCTCTCTCTATATATATATATATATATATATAAATATATATATACAAGCTAATGTGTGTACTGTTTCGTTCTAAACATCTCACAGCTTCGTGTGAACCTTTCTATGGTTGTCATATCAAGTTCTCATTGCAAAAGAACAACAAAACTAAAAAAAGACGAAGCTTCGTTTAGATAGAACAAGCTCGTTATAATCACACTTACTGCTAGGCTTTAGCTTCAAAACAACCACATACAATGAGGTAACAAAAAGGCGAATAAAAAAATGATCCAAGTTCCGATAAACAATCAAAAAGAAAGCCTGAGATTCCTAAGTCTGAAAACCCTAATTCACTGACCAATTTCACACAAGCCAATAATCCGTTTTCACTGATTAAATCCCTTATGCGCATGCTACAAGTGAAAATAATCGAATACCTAAAAGGAGTTCAACAAATGAATAATTTCCATGTGCAAATAGATGTATTATTGTCCATATGTATATGTACCTGGACTTTCCGGCAGCTGTAGTTGGGTTGAAGTGCGGGATGACCACTACTAGTACTCACGGTGGTGCTCCGGATATCGGAATCGAAATGTACGGTGGCTCCCCCGTCGAATTGCCTCCTTCCTTCCATTTTTTCCAGTCGGAGCTCAGAGCAGCTCTCTGATTTTTGGTGTCTTGAAGAGAGAGAGGGAGAGGCAGGGTTTTGATTTATTGTTTGGGAAGAAAATTCACTTGAAAAGAAAACACCAGGTGACAAAAAAGGCCCCTCTAGTTTTGTTATTGATAAAAGTTTCCCAAAAATATAGATGTTTATCATTCAAGTTACTTAAAAGACAAAAACTATTACAAAAATGGTCCCTTGACTATGGTGCAACTTAAATGTTTGGTCTCTCTACTTTTACTTTTGCAGTATTTTTCCCATTAATGTAAATTTTACTATTTTAGAGGTAATAACTTTGAACTATGATGCATAAAACCGATCTGAATTACATTTAATCCTTAATGGCTCGAATATATATACTTACTGTTGTTTAGTAGCACACCAGTCCAGTTCCTGACTCTGATACTATATATAGCATCTCAAGCTAGCAGTACTAGATATTGTTCGTTTTGTCCACACACATAAACTTATGGTTTTTAAACGTGTCTGATAGATGAGGTATCAAGCCTTTTATAAGACAACTTTTGTTCTCCTCCCCAACCAATATGAGATCTAAGAGTCTGACACTCTAGACCATAACCACACACACCCTCCTCCAACTTCTCAAGGCACACACCCTTTTCTTTATTAATTGTGATATAACAGGTTTTACGTCCTCTTTCACTTTTTTCATACAAAATACTTTAATATTTGATTATCGTCATACTGTTGCTTTATTATTAAAACGGTTATACCAATTTTAGATCGTTACATTCATGATCTCAACTAAAATGACTATCTAAACAATGATTGACTAAAAGACTTTATGTCCTACCCGATCTCTGACTCCAGATAACAAACCCTTGGTCGTTTGATTGAAAGAAACAAATGTAGAAAAAAAAAACTATGGCACCATTTGACTAAGAAAATAACACTAACATGATTCGAACTCAATTATAAGGTGAAATAAAAATCTTGCAAACCAACTCTATAAAAAAAAAAATTGTTCACATTGTAATTTCAAAATATATACGGTGACACACAACAATTAATATGGTTGCACCTTTCATGAACCTAATTTTTTTTTACTCTTCGACGGAGAAATAATACGTTGGCACGTGCCACCATTGGCACCACTGTAGATCCGCCCATGCTTATTTAACAGGTTAACGGTTAATTATGCTAACGTGACTATGATATAGCTTATTAATTTCGATTTGTCGATGAAGTTGAAATTAAATTTTTATGGGTTTTTTAAAAGAAATAGAGATAGAAAGGATTGAAAGCTAAACTCATACAAACACCAAGGACTGAACCATTTCAGCCACATTATTTATCAGGGGGCGTTTGGTTCATTTCAAGGAATGAAAATGGGATTGGTAATGATAATAAAGTAGAATGGGAATCATTATTTTTATTCCATTCTATTATATTATTGATGATTTCCTTCCATCTTCCCTATTTCATCTCTAAACCCACGAGAAAGGATTTCTAGGGTTAGTAAAATCAAACTGTGTGTAAAATCGAACACATTCGAACTGAAGAAAATCAACAAACCCAAAACCTCTCTCTCTCTCTATACAAACATGGACGGCGGAGTCACGGCGGAGCAAGGGACGGTCACCTGTGCGTCGTGGATCAGGCGGCCGGAGGATGCGCATCTAGTTGCCCTAGGGAAGTCCAAGCATGGCGATCTCCCTGCCTCTTTCCAGATCTTCTCATTCGATCGTCTCACCACATCCCTTTCTTCATCTCCTTCGGTCTCTCCCTCTCCATCGTCTTCTCTCTGTACGCATGTGTTCTTTTATGTTTATTGTTTGGGGGCGGGGGGATAGGTTACTTTCGAGTTTGAAGACGGATGCGATCCAGTGAGTCTAGCGGTGCATCCTGTTGTAAACTTGTAAACTCACACAGAAAATAAGAACAAGAATAAATATATAGAGAAGAGCAGGAGAGGAGACCAAAGATTGAAGTCTTTATTG